TCCTCCTGGTTTTAAGTCTCGTCTTAGGCCCCTCAGAGCACAGGGGGAGTAAATCTGGAGGCGGTCCGAGACGTACTGTGGGACCAGTCATGATCAGTGTTGGGAAGGTGACTTTTAAAATGTAATCCCCTACAGATTACAGATTACATCCCCCAAAATGTAGTTTGTAACATAATCCATTAAATTACTTAAAGTGAAGTAACGTAATCTGAATACTTTGGATTACTTGATTGTTGTAGAGAAGCAAAGACCAGGAAATATTCAAATAAGATGTATTGTCTGATAAAAGAAAATAAAAAGCTCCAGACTTTACTGAACCAAATTAAAAATATTATTGATAGAAGAAGAGGAGACACGGTCCACATGGCATGATTTAGTCCTGTTAAATCCTGTTTTAGACCTGGTTTACATCTAGTTTAGACCTGGTTTTAGACCAGATATAGATCTAGTTTAGTCCTGGTTTAGACTTGGTTTTAGACTTGGTTTTAGACCTGATTTAGTGTCCGGCAATGAGTGGAATTACTGAGAAGGAAAAAAAAGGGATATAGCCCCAAATGTGAAAACAGGAACATACCGCTGTGTAATCCATTTATTTCAACAAAGTAACTGTAATCCAATTACCACTCACTGAAACAGTAACTGTAACTGAATACTGGTACATGTAATCTGTTACTCCCCAACACTGGTCATGATTTAGTTTAGAGCAGGGGTGTCAAACATATGGCCCAGGGGCCAGATCCGGCCCTCCAAGACCTTTAATGTGGCCCTTGGGTGATTTTCTACTAAAATATTTGAATTATATTTTCTATTAAAATCTTGTTAATTTTCTGTGGTGTTTATCACAGCAGTGTCTCCAGTGTCTCTGTACGTGGCTCCTCCCACCAGAGCAGCACAAATGAAGACTTGTCTCTTTCCAAACGCTCTTAAAGGACGATCGTTTTGACTGTTGACCGTGACACCCTCATCAGAAAAATGTCCAACATGAGAAAAGTGGAGCCGAGTGCAGGATTTTACAAGAAAAATGGACTTATTCCTATTTACATCCAAGTTCATGTTAAAACATTGTGTTGAAATTGGATTTTTCTTAAAGTTTCAGGTTGTTCATGATATTAGAATATTTTGTAAAAGAAAGAGTTCATCAATTAAAAAAGATTTCTGTAATAGATTTGTGTTTCTCTGCACAAATATTTGAACTTATTGTGATTTTTGGGGTTTATATGACATGAGTTTTCTGATCCAGCCTCTTTGGGATCAAAGTCATTTGACACCTCTGGTTTAGAGGTAGTTTAGAGTTTAGAGGACTTTTCTTTTTCCTCTTAAACTCCAGAATCACGTGACCTAACTGTAGTGAGCAGTGTGTCTAATGCCATACTGTGGAACATCCCAGGACCCTCCACAAGAAGAAAAGTTACACAGTGCAGCTTTTAGTCTTGTGGCCGTGTTAACTTAAAGTATTCTGAGACCTGCTGTCTGGACTTTTACACTGAAAGCTCTTGAATATTGACCAGCTTTGGTTTTGTTTGTGCTGTGATGCCCCCTCTCTCCGCCCCCTGTGCCCCCCCTGTGCCCCCCCCCTGTGCCCGCCCCCCGTGCCCGCCCCCCCGTGCCCGCCCCCCCGTGCCGCCCCCCCTGTGCCCGCCCCCCGTGCCCGCCCGGGTACCCCTCTGCTCTGGGGCCCTGCCAGTCTCTGTGGCACTGTGGGATTCTTGAGTTACAAAAGCAGAAGCAGGAAAGTTTAAAGAGCGGAGCAGACGTGGCTCCGACCCTCTGCGCTCGCTGCTTCAGATCAGCACAGGCCACGCTAATCACATGTGACCCTGTGTGTTTGTATGTTTAAGAGACGAGTGTGTGTGTGTGTGTGTGTGTGTGTGTGCTGTACATACAACACACACACACACACACACACACACAGCTTCACTCAGACAGGGCCACTTGTGCAGGAGACTATGAACAGTGAGCTAATACTCATCTGGACTACGGGATATAATACTTTTTTGTAATTATGAAACCAAAAAAAAAACAAAAAACACGTCATCACAATCAAGCAAAGTCTCTGTTTACTCCACCTGGTCCTCACATTGTCTCCTCGTCTCCTCTCTCCTCGTCTCCTCTCTCGTCTTCTCCTCTTCTCTCTCCTCGTCTCCTCTTCTCCTCTCTCCTCCTCTCCTCTCTCCTCGTCTCCTCTTCTCTCTCCTCGTCTCCTCTCTCCTCGTCTCCTCTCTCGTCTTCTCCTCTCTCCTCTTCTTTCTCCTCGTCTCCTCTCTCTTCTTCTCCTCTTCTCTCTCCTCGTCTCCTCTCTCCTCTTCTCCTCTCTCCTCGTCTCCTCTCATCTCCCCTCTCCTCGTCTCCCCTCTCCTCATCTCCTCTCTCCTCTTCTCCTCTCCCCTCTCCTCGTCTTCTCTCTCCTCGTCTCCTCTCTCCCCTCTCCTCGTCTCCTCTCTCCTTGTCTCCTCTCTCCTCGTCTAATCTCTCCTTGTCTCCCCTCTCCCCGTCTCCTCTTTCCTCCTCTCCCCTCTCCTCTTCTCCTCTTCTCTCTCCTCATTTCCTCTCTCCTCTTCTCCTCTTCTCTCTCTTCGTCTCCTCTCTCCTCGTCTCCTCTTCTCCTTTTATCTCCCCTCTTCTCCTCTCTCCTCATCTCCTTGTCTCTTCTCTTCTTTTCTCTCTCGTCTTCTCCTCTCTCCTTGTCTCCTCCCTTCTTTTCTCCTCATCTTCTCCCTCCTCAGCTCCTCGTCTCCTCTTTCCTCGTCTCCTCTTTCCTCGTCTCCTCCCATAGAATGATTTTACTGATTACAAATTACTGATTACAAGTTAAAGGTGCTGTACCAGATTATTTTCCTCCTGTGTTTGAGTGAAGTCCTTTGTCTGCATATAATTAGAAAGCGTTTTGTTGTCTGCTAATCAGGAAGTGCTTGTTAACATGCTAGTTGTTGTTGTTGCTTTACTGTCACAGAAAAACTCTGCAAAGTTATTTAAAGTGCTTTATAAAGTCATCAGGGAGAATAATTAGAATGATAGAAATCCATGAGGTAAGTGTGTGTGTACATTTAAAATGAACTAGTTGAACCACAAAAGTGCAGAAAGTTCACTTTATACTCTTATTTGGAAGATTACACTCATGTTTCTGCAATTTTTTAAATTATTTTTTTTATTAATTTGCAGTATTTAAATAAATCGTTTAAGAAATATACTTGTGTAATATATATTGCCCATCCCTATCGCTGTTATGGGGCGACAGTAGCTCAGTTGAATGCTGTCATTGTGTTCTTGGGCAAGACACTTATCCCACCTCGCCTCTAGTGTCTGTGCACACTGGTGTGTGAATGTGTGTAATGTGTGTAAAGTGCTTTGAGCCTCACAGGTGGAAAAGTGCTGTATAAAAATGTGACTAGTGATCTTTGTAATGCCCCGTAATTAAATCCTTCACATTGTCCAACATACTGCAGTATCATCAGTGTAACAAAGATAATGCTGGATTTAGACGTGCACTGTGTACAGAGTATCCCCACGTTTGACTACTCCAAATGTAACTTTATTAAGACCTTTTAAAGACCACTTAAATGAACATTAAGACCAACATCGCACCCATTATGCAGGAAAAAAAACACCAGATCCAATTCTAATAATGACAAACCAACTACTATATCTAGAATCTAAGAGTGAGATTTCACATTGTTGCAGTTTTTTCCTCCCTCCATTTAACATTACTCTGCAGCCCGTTTGAGTACACAAAACAAAACAAAAAAACAGACTAATGCAACCCTCTCCAGGCAGATCATTGTCAGTCTTCAGTGTTAATTTACCACACCGGACCAATGTTGCAAATCTGAAACATCCCAGAACACATTGGATGTGAAGGTCTCTCTCAAAAAAAAGTCAGGATTGTATATTACTACCCCATATGATCATTTTCCCCAAATATCAGATTTTTTTCCTGTTACTAAAATTTAATTTGAGCCTGAGAGGGTTAATTAAATCCTTCACACTGTCCAACATACTGCAGTATCATCAGTGTAACAAAAGTAATCCTGGATTTAGACGTGCACTGTGTACAGAGTATCCCCAAGGTAGACTACTCCAAATGTAACTTTTTAAAGACCTTTTAAAGACCACTTAAATGAAAATTAAGACCAACATCGCACCCATTATGCAGGAAAAAAAACCCCACCAGATCCAATTCTAATAATGACAAACCAACAACTATATCTAGAATCTAAGAGTGAGATTTCACGTTGTTGTTATTGTTTTTTTTCCTCCCTTCATTTAACATTACTCTGCAGCTCGGTTGAATACACAAAACAAAAAATAGACTAATGAAATTTAAGACCTTTGTGAAAAAAATAAGACTTGGACAACATAATTTAGGACTTTTTTAAGGCCTTAATTTAGGAACATGAAATTTAAGACCTTTTTAAATCTTTTAAGACTCCGCAGCTGCCCTGTATGTAACTTTTCTTGTGGACCGTGGACTTCTTTAACCAAATCTTCATAGAAACAAGCAGATGATGTCACCAGACCAAGATCTTTTACAAGTAATCCAAAAACACTTGTAACTGAATACATGCCAGCAGTTTAATGATAAAGTTACACAGTGAACCTTTAAATACCAAAGTCTGTCTTCGTCATACATCGTCTCCGTTTTTAATCCGAACACCGCGGATCGACCCAGATCTGAACGAGCTCTTAAATGACCACAGAATTAAGAGTCAACAGAAAGTCAGTACAAGTTGTGTGACAAGTACATACACACACACTTACACACACAGCACACCTCCAAACCGCAGCCCCCCTCACATCTCAGGCTCCACTTATTTTTCTCTGGGCGAGTTTTCAAACCTGGTGTCACACTTGGAGACAGTTGCTCCACTCCTCTGCTGCTTCTCCCTGCACTCTACGTGATATTGATGAAAAATGCTAACAATGCCTGTCTTTTTGTCCTCTGCTCCCCCTCTCTCTCCGTCTCTCCCTCTCTTTCTCTCCTCTTCCCTCTCTCTCGGCTGTAGTGGGGACTCCTTACTACATGTCACCGGAGAGGATACATGAAAACGGATACAACTTCAAGTCTGACATCTGGTCTCTGGGCTGCCTGCTGTACGAGGTAAACTCCTGGTTGTGTGCTCGGCTGTCAGCGTGTGTGTGTGTGTGTGCGTGTGTGTGTGTGCGTCTGACGGAGGAGACACAGACACAAGCAGCTTATCACAGGAACTCAAAATAACACGGCAGGATCAGGACTAAAGAGCATCACGGGAGATTGGTGGATTTTCAGAATTGGGAAAAGTGTACAGTATATGTTCTGATTTGGGCAGTGCTGGAGGAAGAACTCACTTTTGTTACTTAAAGGTGCATTGTGTAACTTTTTTTATGCAGGGTCTGTCAAATGGGTTCTCCGTGGAGATGTTATTACTTTGTCTGGAATGTTTCACAGTGTTAAACTTTAAACACATTAAACTTTTCTGTCATTATGGAGGTCGAACCAGACCAAGTTACAGGTCAGATCTGTGGAGAGGCGACCCCACTCACAGTCAGAATGTCTGTTTTTGTAGGTGTTTTTTAGCTAAAAGAAAAAAAACAAAACACCTGTAATTGAATAAATGTAAAGTCGAGCTGTTTAATGTCACACTGTGGAACATTCTAAATAGAGTAATAACATATACATAGAAACAAACAGGTGATGGACCCCAACCTAAAAATTAAATAGTGCATCTTTAATTGACAGATACAAAAGATTAGTAAAAGAAAAAAAAAAAAGAAAGAAAAGTATCACATGAAAAAAGAATCTATTTAAGTAAAAGTATGGAAGTAGCTGTTTAAAAATGTACTTTTAAAATATGCTGAGATTTTTTAGTTGGAAGTTGGAAGCGGGATCGCCTTTCCACAGATCTGACCTGTAACAGACCCCTAACCAAAAAATGACATAGTACATCTTTAAGTAAAAGTACAGATACAGAAGATTACTCAAGTATCACATGAAAAAAATCTAGTAAAGTATTGAAGTAGCTGTTTAAAAATGTACTCTAAGAGTAAAAAGTTTTTTTTTAAGTTAGAAGCCGGGTGGCCTCTCCACAGATCTGACCTGGAACCTGGTCTGGTTTGGTTTCTATGGAGATAGAAAGTTTTAATGCCATACTGTGAAACATTCCAGACAAAGCAAGAACATATCTATTTAGAAAATCATTTGACGGACCCTCCACCGGAAAAGTTACAGAATGCACCTTTAAGTGAAGCACAGATACTTACAATTTATACTTAAGTACAGTACTTTACTACTTTAAAAGTTTTGCAGATTTTTTTTTTTAAAGTTAGATCTGACCTGTAACTTGGTCTGGTTTGGTCTCCATGGAGATAGAAAGGTTTAATGCCATACTGTGGAACATTCCAGACAAAGCAATAACATCTGTATGGAGAAAAGTACTGGAAAAGCTACACAATGCACCTTTAAGTAAAGCACAGATACCTACAATTTATACTTAAGTACAGTACTTTTCTACTTTACTTACTTTTACTTTGTTACATTCCACCACATATTTGATCTTTTGGGCACTTTATTGTATTTTGGGGAACAAGAACATTGGAATTTTAATTACTTATTAACGTAAAGTAGAACTGTTTAATGTCACACTGTGGAACATTCCAGGCAGATCAATGACATCTCCATAGAAACAAACAGGTAACGGACCCCTAACCAAAAATTTACACAGTGCATCTTTAAGTAAAAGTACAAAAACAGAATATTACTCAAGTATCGCATGAAAAAATCTAGTAAAGTCTTGAAGTAGCTGTTTAAAAAGAATAAAAAGTTTGCAGAGCTTTTTATAAAGTTAGAAGCGGGGTCGCCTCTCCACAGATCTGACCTGTAACTTGGTTTGGTTTGGTCTCCATGGAGATAGAAAGGTTTAATGCCATACTGTGAAACATTCCAGACAAAGTAATAACACCTCCATGAAGAAAAACATTTGACAGACCCTCCACTGGAAAAGTTACACAGTGCACCTTTAAGTAAAGCACAGATACTTACAATTTTCACTCAAGTACAGTACTTTACTACTTTACTTACTTTTACTTTGTTACATTCCACCAGGTGTTTGATCTTATGGACACTTTATTGTATTGTATAAAGTAGAGCCGTTTAATGTCACACTGTGGAACATTCCAGGCAGAGCAATGACATCTCCATAGAAACAAGCAGGTGATGGACCCTAACCAAAAAATCACACAGTGCACCTTTCCATTGTACATAGTCCATTGCATCTGCATAGTCCACTGAACTACTGCACGTCCAAAACAACTCCTGCACTATTATCCATGTTTTGATATATTTCCCATTTGTACCACGTCTGCTCCTGTCTGTGCTCCTGTCTCTGCCCTTGCCCCTGTCTGTGCCCCTGCCTCCTCCCTTCACCTCTGTGTCACGAGGGAGGCTGGTGAATGTAGAGCTCAGAGCCGTGCACGGAGCTGACATCACATGTGTTTCATATGAGCTCCAATCTCCACCACTGACTGGGCTGGTTAGAGCTGAGAGGACCAGAGACCACAGTCAGAGGAACAGCATCCACGGAGCTCTGAGGGCACGCCACATTACACTACCCACCATTTGATCAAAACATAGCTAAAAAATGCAAAAATAAGTGTGCAGATAGAAAATTAGTAAGAGTGTAACGATATCATATTGTCACGGTATGAACATCACAGTACGATATTTATTGCGATGGGAAAGCTCACAAAATGGTGGAGAGACTCACGATTAGCGATGTGACAATATCCAAATCTCTAATATTTTCACGATATTTATTGCTATATTTTGACTTTAAAGTGTTAGAACTGTTATTTTTTTCATGTAATCTGCACTGAAATGGAGCAAAGGATCATGGTCTATGTAGTTCTCTGTCTTTTTTTAGCTGTTGATGCACCATAACTCTTCATTTAAGCAAAGAGACTTTTAATTCGATATATTGTGATGGTCCACGATATTATTGTGAGAACGATACAATATCACGATATTTCGGTTATTGTTACATCCCTAAAAATTAGGTGCTTCCTGATCACAAACAACTTGTGTTTTGTTTACACACGTTTAACATCAATATTTAAGCGAGTTCTTCTCTCAAAATGAAAACACTCTGTTCTTGTGATGTCATGTGGTGATACAGAAAGGACTCCACTGTGTTTTTAAACTCCACACACCTTCACTAGAATCATTTGAATAATTTCAGTTCTGAAATGTCCAATTTCCACTGAACTAAGGCCTTGTCCACACTAGTACATATTCAAGTTGTTTTCATTGTGAATGCAGTGTTCCTTCACACTAATCCGACTAAAAACAACTCCAGAACGACGGAACGATCTGGTACCACCAGCCCCCATGAATTCATCCGAGTACAGATCTGATCCGGCACTGTGTGGACGCCTGAAAACACTGATACTCTGATGTAGTCTTATGCGGCGCAAAGTAATTCAGCTCCAAAACACTAAGAGGCTAAAATATATGTCCATTCATATAAACACTCCGTATAATCTCTGAAAAGTTTAACATGAATCATCTCCAATACAATAGAAGAAAACAGAACAGACTCACCATCAGCAGAACACCCCTCTGTCACAGAAAGAACACTCATATTCCACTATTCCAGACTTCCTTGCTTTTACCATTCACGTGTCGTTGGGACATCGTGACACCAGCCGATCATGTGACCAGCGTTTCAGGCGGTGTTGCATTTCTGTGTGGACAGGGAACGCTTTGATTGAGGACACAGAAACAACATGTCTGGACGCAGATCATTTCCGATTTCTGATTTGTTTTAGTGTAAACGGGGTCTAAAGTTAAAAAAGTAGCTTTTAACTTGAAAACTACCACTACATGACATCACAAGGTGGAACAGAGCATTTGGAGCTTAGGAGATGTAGACAGACTGATAATGCAGAGTTACTCAAACATGTGTGAATGAAACAAAACTCAACTCCAGGTCTGTTTTTGAGCAGGTAACAACATTAGAACATGCCTTAAAGCTCACAAGTATTCATTTTGTGTTATATAGAACATTTAAAGATACAATCTGTAACTTTTCTTATGTTTCCACGGAGAAGTTATAGCTTTGCCAGGGATGTTCCACATCGTAAATAACATTAAACTTACCATCTTGATTCTCATTTAAAGATGTTTTTGTGCTGTAAAACTGTACACGGGGTCACTTCTCCACAGATCTGACCAGTAACTTCAACTGCTTTTCTCCAAGATCGACAAGTTTAACGTCACATGGTACAACATTCAAAGCAATTCATGTTGAAAAGAAAGAAAAGAGAAGAAAAAGAAAGAGTGATGTTTATTATAATAGTCTTACTGGAATCTGTATTGAGTATTGAGTCTGTTTCTTAAAGCTGCACTGCATATTTTTTCTGGTGGTTTACCTGCTGCCTGCTTGTCTCCATGGAGATGCTGTTACTTTTCCAACAATGTTCCATGGTATGACTTTAAAAATATCTATCAGCATGTATTCATTACGGGTGTTTTTATTGCTCAAAAACACAATCAAAAATCACTCCTTCTGTGAGTAGAGGCGCCTCTCCACAGATCTGACTTGTAATCTAGTGTAGTGCTGTAACCTGCTTAACTTCTTTGTAATTGAGAGGTTTAATGCCATACTGTGGAACATTCCAGATAAAGCAATAACATCTCCATGGAGAAAAGAATAGTCACACAGTGCAGCTTTAAGAATGATTCAGGTTTAGGAACTATTCACATCATTACTCCTTCTTAAATAAAGTTACAGTGTGGAATTTAGATTTTTGCCCGATGGAAACGAGGCTTTAAAATCCAAATCAAGCTTAAAAAAAACTCCAGTGCAGAAGAATTTCCCCCCAAAAAACCCACACTCGCGTCTATACCTCCCTCCCCAAGATGGCAGCCATTTTAACCACTTTAATGTTTAACCTTTCCAGCACCTTTGAATCCACTGCACTTTTTTCCGTGAAACACTCAGCGGTCAAGGCAACATCCGCGTTTTCCTCCCTCCTCTGAAAGCCCAGGAGACGCTGATCACTTGGACTGCATTTTAACACCGCAGCGACTACAGCAGGCGCACACAGAGCCCCGGGCGCGCTCGC